CGTCGAAGTTACAAAGTCAGGGACAATTGTCGAGGAGGTCAAACCTGAGCCAATCGTTGAAGCTCCAGTGGTTGAAGAGTCCAAGACAATTACAACTGTCGTTACCACAACCACTGTAACTGAAAAGGAGACATCCAGCGAAGTTCCTGTTGCTGAAGTACCTCAACAACCCGAACCCATGCAGTTCCCAGAACAGCCCAAGAAACCAGCCTACGCCGGCTTGCCTGTGGACGATTCATCTAGCTCTTGGATGGATGTCCTGGATGAACCCATGAACTTCTCAGATGACGAAGAGGAAGCTGTCCCTGAACCTGTAAAGGAGGAACCTGTCGTCGAAGTTACAAAGTCAGTGACAATTGTCGAGGAGGTCAAACCTGAGCCAATCGTTGAAGCTCCAGTGGTTGAAGAGTCCAAGACAATCACAACCGTCGTTACCACAACCACTGTAACTGAGAAGGAAGATGAAGCTATACCTGAACCACAAAAGGAGGAGCCTGTCGTCGCAGTTACAAAGTCAGTGACAATTGTCGAGGAGGTCAAACCTGAGCCAATCGTTGAAGCTCCAGTGGTTGAAGAGTCCAAGACAATCACAACCGTCGTTAGCACAACCACTGTAACTGAGAAGGAAGATGAAGCTATACCTGAACCACAAAAGGAGGAGCCTGTCGTCGCAGTTACAAAGTCAGTGACAATTGTCGAGGAGGTCAAACCTGANCAACAAACCGAACCCATGCAGTTCCCAGAACAGCTCAAGAAACCAGCCTACGCCGGCTTGCCTGTAGACGATTCATCTAGCTCTTGGATGGATGTCCTGGATGGACCCATGAACTTCTCAGATGACGAAGAGGACGCTGTCCCTGAACCTGTAAAGGAGGAACCTTTCGTCGAAGTCGCAAAGCCAGGGACTATTGACGAGGAGGCCAAACCACGGCCTATCGTTCTAGCTCCAGTGGTTGAAGAGTCCAAGACAATCACTACCGTCGTTACCACAACCACTATAACTGAGAAGGAAACTTCAACTGAAGTTCCTGCTCCTGTACCGCAGCCACCTGAACCAATGACGATGCCAGAACAACACAAGAAAAGAGCCGACGCCGGCTTGCCTGTAGACGATGCAGCTAGCTCTGTGATGGATGACCTGGATGAACGCATGAACTTCTCAGATGACGAAGAGGAAGCTGTCCCTGAACCTGTAAAGGAGGAACCTGTCGTCGAAGTTACAAAGTCAGTGACAATTGTCGAGGAGGTCAAACCTGAGCCAATCGTTGAAGCTCCAGTGGTTGAAGAGTCCAAGACAATTACAACTGTCGTTACCACAACCACTGTAACTGAAAAGGAGACATCCAGCGAAGTTCCTGTTGCTGAAGTACCTCAACAACCCGAACCCATGCAGTTCCCAGAACAGCCCAAGAAACCAGCCTACGCCGGCTTGCCTGTGGACGATTCATCTAGCTCTTGGATGGATGTCCTGGATGAACCCATGAACTTCTCAGATGACGAAGAGGAAGCTGTCCCTGAACCTGTAAAGGAGGAACCTGTCGTCGAAGTTACAAAGTCAGTGACAATTGTCGAGGAGGTCAAACCTGAGCCAATCGTTGAAGCTCCAGTGGTTGAAGAGTCCAAGACAATCACAACCGTCGTTACCACAACCACTGTAACTGAGAAGGAAGATGAAGCTATACCTGAAGCACAAAAGGAGGAGCCTGTCGTCGCAGTTACAAAGTCAGTGACAATTGTCGAGGAGGTCAAACCTGAGCCAATCGTTGAAGCTCCAGTGGTTGAAGAGTCCAAGACAATTACAACTGTCGTTACCACAACCACTGTAACTGAAAAGGAGACATCCAGCGAAGTTCCTGTTGCTCAAGTACCTCAACAACCCGAACCCATGCAGTTCCCAGAACAGCCCAAGAAACCAGCCTACGCCGGCTTGCCTGTGGACGATTCATCTAGCTCTTGGATGGATGTCCTGGATGAACCCATGAACTTCTCAGATGACGAAGAGGAAGCTGTTCCTGAACCTGTAAAGGAGGAACCTGTCGTCGAAGTTCCAAAGTCAGTGACAATTTTTGAGGAGGTCAAACCTGAGCCAATCGTTGAAGCTCCAGGGGTTGAAGAGTCCAAGACAATCAAAACCGTCGTTACCACAACCACTGTAACTGAGAAGGAAGATGAAGCTATACCTGAACCACAAAAGGAGGAGCCTGTCGTCGCAGTTACAAAGTCAGTGACAATTGTCGAGGAAGTCAAACCTGAGCCAATCGTTGAAGCTCCAGTGGTTGAAGAGTCCAAGACAATCACAACCGTCGTTAGCACAACCACTGTAACTGAGAAGGAAGATGAAGCTATACCTGAACCACAAAAGGAGGAGCCTGTCGTCACAGTTACAAAGTCAGTGACAATTGTCGAGGAGGTCAAACCTCAGCCAATCGTTGAAGCTCCAGTGGTTGAAGAGTCCAAGACAATCACAACCGTCGTTACCACAACCACTGTAACTGAGAAGGAGACATCCAGCGAAGTTCCTCTTGCTGAAGTACCTGAACAACCCGAACCCATGCAGTTCCCAGAACAGCCGAAGAAACCAGCCTACGCCGGCTTGCACGTAGACGATTCGTCTAGCGCTTGGATGGATGTCCTGGATGAACCCATGAACTTCTCAGATGACGAAGAGGAAGCTGTCCCTGAACCTGTAAAGGAGGAACCTGTCGTCGAAGTTACAAAGTCAGTGACAATTGTCGAGGAGGTCAAACCTGAGCCAATCGTTGAAGCTCCAGTGGTTGAAGAGTCCAAGACAATCACAACCGTCGTTACCACAACCACTGTAACTGAAAAGGAGACATCCAGCGAAGTTCCTGTTGCTGAAGTACCTCAACAACCCGAACCCATGCAGTTCCCAGAACAGCCCAAGAAACCAGCCTACGCCGGCTTGCCTGTGGACGATTCATCTAGCTCTTGGATGGATGTCCTGGATGAACCCATGAACTTCTCAGATGACGAAGAGGAAGCTGTCCCTGAACCTGTAAAGGAGGAACCTGTCGTCGAAGTTACAAAGTCAGTGACAATTGTCGAGGAGGTCAAACCTGAGCCAATCGTTGAAGCTCCAGGGGTTGAAGAGTCCAAGACAATCAAAACCGTCGTTACCACAACCACTGTAACTGAGAAGGAGACATCCAGCGAAGTTCCTGTTGCTCAAGTACCTCAACAACCCGAACCCATGCAGTTCCCAGAACAGCCCAAGAAACCAGCCTACGCCGGCTTGCCTGTGGACGATTCATCTAGCTCTTGGATGGATGTCCTGGATGAACCCATGAACTTCTCAGATGACGAAGAGGAAGCTGTCCCTGAACCTGTAAAGGAGGAACCTGTCGTCGAAGTTACAAAGTCAGTGACAATTGTCGAGGAGGTCAAACCTGAGCCAATCGTTGAAGCTCCAGTGGTTGAAGAGTCCAAGACAATCACAACCGTCGTTACCACAACCACTGTAACTGAGAAGGAGACATCCAGCGAAGTTCCTGTTGCTGAAGTACCTCAACAACCCGAACCCATGCAGTTCCCAGAACAGCCCAAGAAACCAGCCTACGCCGGCTTGCCTGTGGACGATTCATCTAGCTCTTGGATGGATGTCCTGGATGAACCCATGAACTTCTCAGATGACGAAGAGGAAGCTGTCCCTGAACCTGTAAAGGAGGAACCTGTCGTCGAAGTTACAAANCGAGGAGATCAAACCTGAGCCAATCGTTGAAGCTCCAGTGGTTGAAGAGTCCAAGACAATTACAACTGTCGTTACCACAACCACTGTAACTGAAAAGGAGACATCCAGCGAAGTTCCTGTTGCTGAAGTACCTCAACAACCCGAACCCATGCAGTTCCCAGAACAGCCCAAGAAACCAGCCTACGCCGGCTTGCCTGTGGACGATTCATCTAGCTCTTGGATGGATGTCCTGGATGAACCCATGAACTTCTCAGATGACGAAGAGGAAGCTGTCCCTGAACCTGTAAAGGAGGAACCTGTCGTCGAAGTTCCAAAGTCAGTGACAATTGTCGAGGAGGTCAAACCTGAGCCAATCGTTGAAGCTCGAGTGGTTGAAGGGTCCAAGACAATTACAACTGTCGTTTCCACAACCACTGTAACTGAAAAGGAGATATCCAGCGAAGTTCCTCTTGCTGAAGTACCTCAACAACCCGAACCCATGCAGTTCCCAGAACAGCCCAAGAATTCAGCATACGCCGGCTTGCCTGTGGACGATTCATCTAGCTCTTGGATGGATGTCCTGGATGAACCCATGAACTTCTCAGATGACGAAGAGGAAGCTGTCCCTGAACCTGTAAAGGAGGAACCTGTCGTCGAAGTTACAAAGTCAGTGACAATTTTTGAGGAGGTCAAACCTGAGCCAATCGTTGAAGCTCCAGTGGTTGAAGAGTCCAAGACAATTACAACTGTCGTTACCACAACCACTGTAACTGAAAAGGAGACATCCAGCGAAGTTCCTGTTGCTGAAGTACCTCAACAACCCGAACCCATGCAGTTCCCAGAACAGCCCAAGAAACCAGCCTACGCCGGCTTGCCTGTGGACGATTCATCTAGCTCTTGGATGGATGTCCTGGATGAACCCATGAACTTCTCAGATGACGAGGAGGAAGCTGTCCCTGAACCAGTAAAGGAGGAGCCTGTCGTCGAAGTTACCAAGTCAGTGACAATTGTCGAGGAGGTCAAACCGGAGCCAATCGTTGAAGCTCCAGTGGTTGAAGAGTCCAAGACAATAACCGTCATTACCACAACCACTGTAACTGAGAAGGAAGAGGAAACAGTACCTGAACCACAAAAGGAGGAATCTGTCGTCGATGTTACAAAGTCGGTGACTATTGTGGATGAGGGCAAACCAGAGCCAATCGTTGAAGCTCCAGTGGTTGAAGAGTCCAAGACAATCACAACCGTCGTTAACACAACCACAACCACTGAGAAGGAGACATCCAGCAAAGTTCCGGCTTCTGATCAACGAAAGCAAGAAATTGTGCAGCCGGAAATCTCCCAAGCTACGTCACAACGTATTGTTCAAAATGTTTGGGAACTGCATTCATCTTACGCTGATGTTCTGAGACACACCGTTGACTTCATTGAATTGGAAAAGCAACACGTTCACGTTGAAGTTAAACCGACCAAACATACAGAAACAGTTAAAATTGTTGAGGAGGTTTCCAAAAAGTCAAAAACAAAGAAGGAAAAGCCCCAAAAGAAACATCCTAAGAATATTAAGCAAAGCGAGGTTGAAATTGTTGCTGTTGAAACCGTCAGTTCTGCTAGCGAACCTGTAACCCCAGAGCTCGTTGAGCCGGAAACATTGGAAACTACATCATCTTGGTCAGCAATGGTTGATGAAGATTCGAGTGAAATTTTGGAACCGAATCTTCCGCAGACCAGTAACGCACTATGGTCATCGATAGTGCGACAAGGTGTCCAGGAACCCTTCACGAAGATAACGCAACAAAGCTCCAACACCGAAGATGAAACAGTCCCAGAGAAACCACAAAAGCAAAAGCCAAGAAAAGAAAATAAGGTTACAAAATCGGTTCCAATCTCTGAGCCTGTGCAACCAGAAAAGGAACCACAAGTCATAATCGTAGAAGACATCAAATCTACCACAGCAGAGGTGCCCTCACAATTCTCTTCCTGGTCGTCGATTGTTTCTCAACCCACTGTAGATATTTCAACAATAGTTCCACAATCTCATAAAATACAGGATTTCATTTCCCATGAACGAAACTCGGTTGTTGCGATTGACAAACCAAAGAAGCCAAAAGCAAAGAAAGAAAAGAAATCCCTGAAGTCAGAGCCAATTGTTGAAGCAGTTCTTGCAATTCCTAAACCAGCTGTTGAGGAAATTTTCACACAACCGGAACCAGTAGTCGCAACTGAACCATCGCTTCCAGTTACCGATCTCAACACCTCTAAAACAATGTCATGGTCATCGATTGTTTCCCAAACTGTCGAAGTTACTCCAACGATCACGGAAAGTGTGGTTCGAGAGCTAAAACCCACATCACCTATCGACGAAAAACCCAAAAAACAAAAGTCGAAGAAGGAGAAGAAATCGCCAAAGGCGGAAAAAGTTCATGAGCCCGTCGTTCCTGTTATTGAACCTGTTGAAGTAACGGATGCTGAAGAAACTGTTTCCGATAAGGAACTAAAACCGGTAGACATTGAAGAACAGCCCACTCCGGTTGCTGTCCCAGCATCGCAAGCACCATTGTCTTGGTCTTCTATCGTCTCACACTCTGTTGAAGTGATACCAACGATCACCGAAACTCTTGTTACTGACAAAAAATCTCCAGTTATCCAAGAATTTATCGCCCAGGAACAAAACTTCTCTACCGCTGTGAACAGTAAGGAGAAGAGGCAAAAGTCGAAGAAGGAAAAGAAACCCACAACAGAACTAATTCAAGAATATAGCTTTGAAGCTGTTTCCATCGAAGAACCAGTTGTTGAAGTCTCCTTTGTTCCAGAGCCAATTGTTGAAGAACCCACTCTTACAGCACCAGAAATTGCACCGTCACACACTCTGTCATGGTCGTCTATCGTTTCACAAACTACTGATGTGACAACCATCACGGAAACTCATGTTACTGAAGAAACTGAAGTCAAAAATCTGTCTGAAGAACCACAATCTATACCATCAGTAGAGGAAAAGCCTAAGAAACAGAAGACAAAGAAAGAAAAGAAACCCAAGACGGAACCGATTCCGGAAACTACTGTGGAAGTTAAGACTATCGAAGAGCCTGTTGTTGAAGTGACTATAGCGCCAGAGCCTACTATTGAGGAAGTCATTCCAGTGGCAGAGGCTGAGCCTGTAGTTGAACCAATTTCTTCACTACCAGAAGTTGCACCATCACAAACCCTGTCATGGTCGTCAATCGTCTCGCAGACTACAGAAGTAAGTCCAACCAAGCCTGAAACCATTGTCACTGAATCATCGAAAACCAAGGATATTGTGGACTTCATCGCCCAGGAGCAGATCTTCTCGACTGTTGTAAACGACAAACAAAAGAAACAAAAGTCAAAGAAGGAAAAGAAGTCACCCAAAGCGGAACCAATTCTTGAAGTCGTGACTACGGTTTCAGAACCAGTTGTTGAAGTGGTGACTACTGTTCCAGAACCAATTGTTGAAGTTGTGGCTTCTATTCCAGAAAGTGTTGTTGAGGAAGATATTGCAGAGACAGAACTGGCACCTTCAGTGCCAGAAGTGACACCCTCAAGCACCCTGTCATGGTCGTCTATCGTTTCTCAAACTACTGATGTGACAACAACCATCACTGAGACTCATGTCACTGAAGAATCGGAAGTAAAACATGTGCCTGAGGAAGAGACATCCAAACCATCAGTGGAGGAAAAGCCTAAGAAACAGAAGACAAAGAAAGAAAAGAAACCCAAGACGGAACCGATTCCGGAAACTACTGTGGAAGTCAAGACTATCGAAGAGCCTGTTGTTGAAGTGACTATAGCGCCAGAGCCTACTATTGAGGAGGTCATTCCAGTGACAGAGCCTGAGCCTGTAGTTGAAGCGGAACGAATTCCTTCAGTACCAGAAGTTGCACCATCACAGACCCTGTCATGGTCGTCCATCGTCTCGCAGACCACAGAAGTAACTCCAACCAAGCCTGAAACCATTGTCACTGAATCATCGAAAACCAAGGATATTGTGAACTTCATCGCCCAGGAGCAGACCTTCTCGACTGTTGTAAACGACAAACAAAAGAAACAAAAGTCAAAGAAGGAAAAGAAGTCAACCAAAGCGGAACCAATTCTTGAAGTCGTGACTACGGTTTCAGAACCAGTTGTTGAAGTGTTGAATACGGTTCCAGAACCAGTTGTTGATGTTGTGGCTTCTATTCCAGAAGAGATTGCAGACACAGAACTGGCGCCTTCAGTGCCAGAAGTGACACCATCAAACACCCTGTCATGGTCGTCTATCGTTTCTCAAACTTCTGATGTGACAACAACCATCACTGAGACTCATGTCACTGAAGAATCGGATGTAAAACATGTGCCTGAGGAAGAGACATCCAAACCATCAGTGGAGGAAAAGCCTAAGAAACAGAAGACAAAGAAAGAAAAGAAACCCAAGACGGAACCGATTCAGGAAACTACTGTGGAAGTCAAGACTATCGAAGAGCCTGTTGTTGAAGTGACTATAGCGCCAGAGCCTATTATTGAGGAAGTCATTCCAGTGGCAGAGGCTGAGCCTGTAGTTGAACCAATTTCTTCAGTACCAGAAGTCGCACCATCACAGACCCTGTCATGGTCGTCCATCGTCTCGCAGACCACAGGAGTAACTCCAACCAAACCTGAAACCATTTTCACTGAATCATCGAAAACCAAGGATATTGTGGACTTCATCGCCCAGGAGCAGATCTTCTCGACAGTTGTAAACGACAAACAAAAGTCAAAGAAGGAAAAGAAGTCAACCAAAACGGAACCAATTCTTGAAGTCGTGACTACGGTTTCAGAACCAGTTGTTGAAGTGGTGACTACTGTTCCAGAACCAATTGTTGAAGTTGTGGCTTCTATTCCAGAACTAGTTGTTGAGGAAGAGGTTGCAGAGACTGAACTGGCGCCTTTAGTGCCAGAACAGACACCTTCAAACACCCTGTCATGGTCGTCTATCGTTTCTCAAACTTCTGATGTGACAACAACCATCACTGAGACTCATGTCACTGAAGAATCTAAAGACAAACATCTGCCTGAGGAAGTGTCATCCAAACCATCAGTGGAGGAAAAGCCTAAGAAACAGAAGACAAAGAAAGAAAAGAAACCCAAGACGGAACCGATTCCGGAAACTACTGTGGAAGTCAAGACTATCGAAGAGCCTGTTGTTGAAGTGACTATAGCGCCAGAGCCTACTATTGAGGATGTAATTCCAGTGGCAGAGGCTGAGCCTGTTGTTGAACCAATTTCTTCACTACCAGAAGTTGAACCATCACAAACCCTGTCATGGTCGTCAATCGTCTCGCAGACTACAGAAGTAACTCCAACCAAGCCTGAAACCATTGTCACTGTATCATCAAAAACCAAGGATATTGTGGACTTTATCGCCCAGGAGCAGATCTTTTCGACTGTTGTTAACGACAAACAAAAGAAACAAAAGTCAAAGAAGGAAAAGAAGTCACCCAAAGCGAAACCAATTCTTGAAGTCGTGACTACGGTTTCAGAACCAGTTGTTGAAGTGGTGACTACTGTTCCAGAACCAATTGTTGAAGTTGTGGCTTCTATTCCAGAAAGTTTTGTTGAGGAAGATATTGCAGAGACAGAACTGGCACCTTCAGTGCCAGAAGTGACACCCTCAAGCACCCTGTCATGGTCGTCTATCGTTTCTCAAACTACTGATGTGACAACAACCATCACTGAGACTCATGTCACTGAAGAATCGGATGTAAAACATGTGCCTGAGGAAGAGACATCCAAACCATCAGTGGAGGAAAAGCCTAAGAAACAGAAGACAAAGAAAGAAAAGAAACCCAAGACGGAACCGATTCCGGAAACTACTGTGGAAGTCAAGACTATCGAAGAGCCTGTTGTTGAAGTGACTATAGCGCCAGAGCCTACTATTGAGGATGTAATTCCAGTGGCAGAGGCTGAGCCTGTAGTTAAACCAATTTCTTCACTACCAGAAGTTGCACCATCACAAACCCTGTCATGGTCGTCAATCGTCTCGCAGACTACAGAAGTAAGTCCAACCAAGCCTGAAACCATTGTCACTGAATCATCGAAAACCAAGGATATTGTGGACTTCATCGCCCAGGAGCAGATCTTCTCGACTGTTGTAAACGAAAAACAAAAGAAACAAAAGTCAAAGAAGGAAAAGAAGTCACCCAAAGCGGAACCAATTCTTGAAGTCGTGACTAAGGTTTCAGAACCAGTTGTTGAAGTGGTGACTACTGTTCCAGAACCAATTGTTGAAGTTGTGGCTTCTATTCCAGAAAGTGTTGTTCAGGAAGATATTGCAGAGACAGAACTGGCACCTTCAGTGCCAGAAGTGACACCCTCAAGCACCCTGTCATGGTCGTCTATCGTTTCTCAAACTACTGATGTGACAACAACCATCACTGAGACTCATGTCACTGAAGAATCGGATGTAAAACATGTGCCTGAGGAAGAGACATCCAAACCATCAGTGGAGGAAAAGCCTAAGAAACAGAAGACAAAGAAAGAAAAGAAACCCAAGACGGAACCGATTCCGGAAACTACTGTGGAAGTCAAGACTATCGAAGAGCCTGTTGTTGAAGTGACTATAGCGCCAGAGCCTATTATTGAGGAAGTCATTCCAGTGGCAGAGGCTGAGCCTGTAGTTGAACCAATTTCTTCAGTACCAGAAGTCGCACCATCACAGACCCTGTTATGGTCGTCCATCGTCTCGCAGACCACAGAAGTAACTCCAACCAAGCCTGAAACCATTGTCACTGAATCATCGAAAACCAAGGATATTGTGGACTTCATCGCCCAGGAGCAGATCTTCTCGACTGTTGTAAATGACAAACAAAAGTCTAAGAAGGAAAAGAAGTCAACCAAAGCGGAACCAATTCTTGAAGTCGTGACTACGGTTCCAGAACCAGTTGTTGAAGTTGTGCCTTCTATTCCAGAAGATATTGCAGAGACAGAACTGGCGCCTTCAGTGCCAGAAGTGACACCCTCAAACACCCTGTCATGGTCGTCTATCGTTTCACAAACTACTGATGTGACAACAACCATCACTGAGACTCATGTCACTGAAGAATCTAAAGACAAACATCTGCCTGAGGAAGAGACATCCAAACCACCATTGGAAGAAAAGCCCAAGAAACAGAGGACAAAGAAAGAAAAGAAACCCAAAACGGAACCGACTCCAGAACCTATTGTTGAAGTGGTTTCTATTTCGGAACCAGTTTCTGAAGAAGTAATTTCAGTGGCGGAACCTGAACCTGCAATTGTGGACGAACAAACACCTTCAGTTGCCGAAGCTGTGTCATCACAAAAAATGTCATGGTCATCGATCGTCTCGCAGACTGTCGAAACTGCTCCTGTTGTCACCGAAACATACGTTTCTAAGACATTGGAAACCAAAGCCAAACCCGTCGATAGCCAGGCTTTTATCGTCCATGAACAGACATTAGTCTCTTCAACTGATGAGAAGGTGAAGAAACAAAAGTCGAAAAAGGAAAAGAAAACTGTCAAGGTTGATGCTATTCAGGAACCCATCGCTGTAGTGATTCCAGTTCAAGAATCAGTTAAAACGGAACTAATAACGGAGAAGGAACCAGAACCAATTCCAACTTCAGCACCATGCATGTCATGGGCATCGATTGTATCACAAGAAACAACAGAGATAACCCCTACGGTGACAGAAACATTGCCCAAGGCACCACAGTCAAAGAACATACAGAATTTCATCTCTCAGGAGCAGAACTTTTCGACTACCGTAAATCAAAAGCCGAAGAAACAAAAGCCCAATAAAGAAAGAAAAATTGCAAAGGTAGAACCCATTGAACAGCTTGTGGCTCAACTGACTGATACAATATCTGAGAAAAAACTGGAACCAGATCAACCAGAGCCAGCACCTGAATCACCACAAACACTGTCCTGGTCGTCGATTGTTTCGCATAACATAGACTTGATTCCAACATTCACCGAAACGCATGTCACTAAAACTACAGAAAAAGTTCCAGAGGAGACCACTTCCCAAGAACAGAAGCTTCCCACCTACGTCGAAGAAAAGCCCAAGAAACAAAAGCCCAAGAAGGAGAAGAAACTACCCAAGGCAGAGCCAGTGCAACAAATTAAAGAAGCCCCCATTGTAGTTGATGAGAAGAGGCCAGAAAGTGAACGTAGTTCAGGAACCACAACGCCAGAATTTAATATTCAGCTGCCAACGCTCGCGAAACCATCAGTATGGTCCTCATCAGAAACCTACGCCGAAGTAGTTAGGAAATCAGGCTATACCAAAAATACAAATATTAGGTATCAAGAAACCGAAAGGGAAACTTCGAACTCTAAGAAACCGACAGTCACCGAAGTGCCGCAAGAACCTGTTGTGGAGTTCCCAGATCCAATTATTCCACCGATTGTACATGCAGATGAAGATGAAGAATATACCGAAAAGCCATCACAACAGCTGTCTTGGAGGGAACTCATTGACGATGACGATGATGATGTGGAACCCACACAGTCTTGGTATCAAGAGGAACCTGTACCTGAAAGACCTGAAAGACTTTCTCGACCAATAATTAAGGTTACTGAAGAAGTGACACTGACGAAGCCTACACAGACGCAGCAGGAAAGTGAACACGCCTTCTTGGAGATTGTTTCCAAGAAGAGAAATCGTTCGCGCTCTCGTTCGCAACAGTCACAGATTTCGAACGTGGACGATAAGCCACAAAAGAAGAAATCGAAGAAACCCAAAGAGCAGAAACCTGTGCCACCTCAAACTCAAACACCTACAGAGCCACCTCAAGCCGTGGAACCTCAAACTCCCGTTTCCTCTCCTGTTGAGGAAACGCCCGCACCTTCTCCCTACACTTCTGGTATGTCTTGGGCTGCCATAGCGGCACACAATGTTCCGGAACCTGCACAACAAATACGTCCGCTTCAGATTGAAACCAAATCAATCGTCGCTGAAGCCCCCAAAAAGCCAACGAAGGAGCACAAGGTCAGCATTCCAATCACTTTGGAAGCTCCTGAGCCAAAGACAAAGAAACCCAAACAGAAATCGAAGAAGAAGTCTCCCAACACGGAAATCGTGGATTTCATCAATGCCGAAAAGTCCCATCAAATAACCCCGTTAGCCCCATTCGTCGAGACCTCACCAGACACTTCGTTGGAGTCTGTGGAGTCTACACCTGTGAGCTCAATCGAAACGGTTATTGAGACGAAAACTTCAATAGTGCGGGAGGTCATTACTAATGATGTTCCATCGAAAGAAACTCCTTTGGAGCCTTTTGAAGTGATTGCTGAGCCTGTGGTAGTCACAGTGGAGACTATAGTAGACGTTCCAGCAGACAAGATTGAAACAATCGAAGAGACGGTTAAAGAAGTTCACGTGGAACCAACAATTGAACCCAAAGTTACAGTTGAGACTGTTGTTGAGGAAACAAAACAGACACCATTGGCGCCATTTGAAGATGTACCAGAGACTGTTAAGGAAATTGTTGAAACAGTTCAGCCCACAGAGGAGACTACTGTAACAGTTGAAACTATTGTAGAAACTGTGAAGGAAGTCAAAACCAAGACTGTTGCAGCACCAGTTGAAGCGTATATTGAGAAACCCAAACCAGTACCAGAACAGACACCCTTGGCTCCATTTGAGGATATAACGGAGCCTGTGGAATTTGAAGTTGAACCAGTTGACAGCGCTGTAACATTTGAAGCTATTGTGGAGGATGTAAAAGAGGTCAAACCATTATCAATTGAAATCATCACTGAAACTGTAATTGAGACTGCTGAGCCAGAACCTAAGCCAACGCCCCTGGCACCATTCGCACCTGTTGCGGAGCCCACTCAGTTACCATCCGAAACCGATCCATTCATTTGTGAAACTTCATACTGGTCTGCAACACTGAAACCCGGTCAAAAGCCAACAACCACAACGACAACAACCAGGACTGAAACGACAGAAACGTTGAAGACAGTAACGACAGATGTTGAGAAAACCACTAAACCTATTAGCGTTCAAATACCAACTAAAGAGGATGTTCTTGAGGAAGTGGCAGTACAATCACCGACTGATCAACCTACAACCTGGTCAGCGATTGTTCAAACTGAGACGACGGTCTTCCCAGCACCAGAAAATCAACAAAACGAGGAGGAAATAAAGTCGCCAGCTTCTTGGTCTACTGTAGTGGTGAGCAAAACCACAGATTTCCAAGAGCCCAAATCCCAAATCGATGTGGAGCAAAAGGACAATGTGACTACAACGACAACCACCTATGTGACAACGACAGTAACCACGCATAAGGATGCACCAGTTGTAGAGGAAATTCAGCAGGATGAACCGGAAACAACCTCATATGTATCTACGGTGGTAACCACTCATACAAATGAGTTGACTCTCGAACCGGAAACGACTTTAATTGAAACCAAAACAATAGAGCTTGAACCCGAAAACAAATTGGAAGTACTGAGCGAGAACATATATCGCGATGGAACCAAATTGCATCCGCGTTATGACATATTGGAGGGACAATACTACCAACAATTGCAGGTGGAAAGCATTCCAGTGGAGGAACCAACAACAAAGGAACCAACAATTGTAGAAATTGTGAAGGCAGCAGCCACCCCAGTGATTGAGTCTGAAACAGTTGAACTGATCGAACCTCAAAACAATTTGGAAAAACTCACTGAACACTTGAATCGCGAAGCAATCGAATTGCATCCAAAATACGATCTATTGGAGGAGCAATATCAAGTGTTACAGGTCGAAAGCATTCCACAAAAACCAGCATTAGTTGAGGAGCCAGTTATTGTCAAGGAAGAGGAAATATTGATAGATGATTATGTGATAATTGAACCCGAAACAATACCCCAAATCAATTCTGAAATACTTGCTTTGAATCTATTTCTTGATCAGGAAAATCTATTGTCTCAAGCCCCCAAAGCCCTCGATTCCATTAGCCAGTTGCATTTGCTTACAGTTGATAAACCATCAGTAGAAATAGTTGAGGAAACAAAGGTAATAGAAATATCTCCGGTTGAGGAACCTTCCGTCATAGAAATTGTTGAGGAGACAGCATCAGTAGCAGTGCCCCAGACTACCCAGACATTGACAAGCAGCAGTGGTCCCAGCGATCTACTGTGGCATCTTTCCCAGGATAATTTCGTTAAACTAATACAAAACCACAAACAACTAGCGGCAGAAGGCGCATACGCGTTGCTGTTGCTTGAGACTTCCACAGACACGACCACGACGGATAAAGCTCAGGAAACAACTCAAGACGATAAACATAAGACTGACATCATTACAGAAACTGTAGTGACAAGCACGACCACGATTACAGAATCAAGCAAATTGATGGCTGATCATGTTGTAGATAAGACTGAAGAACCAGAAGCATCATCGTCACTACCAATCATTCCTACAACCGTCACGACACAGGCAGCAGCATCAACACCACCACCACCTACCGATGGCAATCTCGACCAGTTGCGGCTGAATCTGTATCTGGACGATTGGCAATCAGCAAGCGTCGATACAGATTTGGTCGGGGATCGGAATGAGAGATTGAAACGTGATGATGTTGCCAGCCGCGAGGCGGAACTCGACAAAGACAAAAAACCCGACGATGATGTGACTGACAAAACAGACAAGAAGAAGGACAATGATGACGATGAGG